ATATATATCATGGGGGACATTTAAACCTTTATATATTATACAAAACAAAGGTTTTCCTGGAAAGAACATGAGSAATAAGGGGGAGGTTCATTCTCTCAAATGCAATGGCTTAAAGGATAAAAACAGATTACAATTTCCATAATGTCAGCAAATCCTTGAAAAGAGCAAAAGCAAAATGTCAGTCTCACAAAACTGTTGTATGTTGAAGCTTATTCTTGAACTCTTTCAAAACCCACTTGTTCACTCACTAAAAGGTACTGTTCTAAATATGTGCCTKATTAATCCTGCAACGGCTTAATGGACATGTCTGCATTTGGAACTTTACTGAGGTTTTACTGGCTTTTWGTAACAGAACTAACATAAATTGGTGAGAAAAGCTTTATATGCAGTTTTTAGGAATTCTTCWAATCAAGCTACCTTTAAAAGACTGTGATAATCAGATTAACAAAAATAGACACATTTCTCAGAATATTGCTTGTTTCACAGGACAACAACAATTTTAGACGTAAATTCAACTCTGGAAGACTAAAGACCCTCACTTAGCTCACTCAGCTCTGWCTTTGCATGCTCAGCCTCATCCAATCAAGATCCAGCAGTCTGACATAAAAGTGTCCTCCTCACTTGCTCCGGCTGCTCACCAGTTAAATGTCAACCTACCACCTCCCCTCCTCCATCCTGCATCTRCTTCCTTCCAGGTGTCTCCCTCTGCTTCAACCACCACCAGAGTCCGGTCCCCAGGGGGGGGAAAGAAAACTCCTACCCCCTAACCTAATCAGCTTGTGTGAGCTTTCAACCTCTCACAGCGCTCGCATTCTCATCTGGGGTCCGAGCGCCAAACCTGTCATTCATATCAGTCTGTTCAATCAGGGCAGTAAATCCATTATAATTTCACGTTTTGTGTTTGTSTGYGTCTTTCCAGGTTGAAATRAATTTAATCTCTCTGTGTAATCTCAAACATTTAGCCCCGCAAGAGCTTGTAAGTAGCTTAAATGTGTCTGATGTCTATCTGACCAGCTTTCCTGCTCAGTCAATAAAAACAACATTAGGTCATAAAACGAAAAAGAGGATTTTTACTGTAACACCACAAAATAAAAGCTCTGGGGTAGAGAGAAAATAAACCACGGTTTATTTATCGATCTTTCACTGAGATTTCTGTGAAGAGCTTTCTGGGATTCACCGACGTGCAGCACACACAGGACCTGAAGAAAACGACTGGAACAGAATGGAATTTGAAACGTTTTAGCCAAAAATGTTTCCATGGTCAAGGTGTTTTTTGCAGAAACGTTTCAGATTTCGTTTTGTTCTCCTACTGCGTGGGTGAAAAGGGTCACCATTCAAGATGACTACTGTGGCTAATGGACCTCAACAAGACAAAAGTAACTGTAGCTCAGTCAAGTGTTCAGATAATGTGCTAAAATTAGCTGTAATAGTAGCGGTAAGCTATCCCAACATATACTGAGACATCTCACAATGCTGTGTGCAGTTGTGCATATTGTCATTTCTAAGGTTTCACCCACTTTGTTACTTTACTGCATTCAATGATCTTAAAACTCATTAAAGGGTGCCTTCTTGTAAGAAGGCCTTGTTTTTTAATGTCACGTGTAGCTCATATAAGTGTCTTCATGTTATGTGTGTGTTGGTTCAGGGCTAAGACTGCCTCATGTGTTGGGATTCCTCTGTGTTCTGGTCCCCACTGACCACCATCCTCTCAGCATCAGTGGGATGTCCCAGGTGTGTCGCCTCCTGGCCTTGCTCCTGCTCTCCAGCTGCACAAAGGTACAGCTCCTCTCTCTGTTCCTCTCTCTCTCTCTCTCTCTCTCTCTCTCTCTCTCTCTCTCTCTCTCTCTCTCTCTCTCTCTGTGTGTCAAAGCTATATGCAAAGCTTTAATTCTCCCCTACTTTACGTCTCCTTGGGTACCATTGTGTGAGACTGAGAGGTCCCAAGTGGAAAGAATCTGTGTTAAAATGTRACAAGAATCTTCAGGATGCACACTTTCCTTCAGGTCTCCTCTGCTAACTCCCTGGAGCTTGTGAAGGAGCAGTGGAGCAGCTACAAGGACCAGTGCCTGGACTTCATCAATGCCACGCCCCCTGCCATAGGTCAGTCCTGCTCCTCCATGCCTGAATAAGATGCATTCGGACACAGAGCCCTCTACAGGCCTGCTCTCTTTTACAGGACTGGTGTGCAACAGAACATTTGACTTGTATGCCTGCTGGCCTGATGGACTCCCAGGCACCARTGTCAATGTCAGCTGTCCGTGGTTCCTGCCATGGTATGACAAAGGTCTGTATGCGGGTGAAAATTTATGCAAAAAATAAGTTTACATTTTTTAAAAACAYGATAAAACAACTCTATGCAGACTAAAGTAAGTCCTGAAAGTGTGGAAACAAGGCCCTTTGCTCCKGCTTTTCTTGCATCCATGTGAGTTTCTGTTTGAGAAGGCAAAATCTGAGGAGAAAGCATCTGATGAATTTTGGCAACTCCTTTGATAACCATCACACATGCCCATTAGTCCCCATTGTACCAAAATTTCCAGCCTAACCCTTAAAGCCTTCATTTTTGCTCCTGACATTCTGTCAGTTGCTGTGGAGAAGTTGTTCAGTTGCTGCAAACCTTTGGATAAATGCGTTTAGATTGTAAAAAGAAAGTGTCGTTTTTAACAACAACAAAGTTGATTTGAAGACAACCTCTTAGGGGTGTTCTAGGACAAGTTATGACACATGTGGACTATACAAAACATGTTCATTTTATTTAATTCACAAAACAAATCTCAGATAATGAGATTTGTGACGCGCCACGGGAAAACCAGCAACAAGTCGCTGAAGCACAAACCGAGAAAAAAAGGAAAAACTATCATTTTCTGAGAAAATAGTGATTTTTGTTTTTTGGCAAAATATACAAGTCCTTCTCAAAAAAGTTAGCATATTGTGATAAAGTTCATTATTTTCTGTAATGTACTGATAAACATTAAAC